GAAGGCAAAGAGAAACTTTCACAGATCTGGAAACCCAAAGGGCCTAAAACTTGACAAGTTCATCTGTTTCCCTTGTGATGTTCATGCAACAAACAGAGAATCACTTCAGCTTGGAAGCCTGTCCTCTGCAAACCCTGACCGAGGGCAAAAACTGAATCCTGTTCCTCTTGGCACTACTTAGCAGGTAGCAAGAGGTTCAGGTAACAATGGTTGAGCTGAGGGACTTCCCTGGCAGTCCAGTGGTTAAGACTCCTTGCTCCCACTGCAGGGGGCACGGTTCGATCCCTGGTCAGGGAACTAAGATCCTGCATGCCCTGCAGTGGGGCCAAGAAAAACAACAACAAAAAACAATGGTTGAGCTGAATTCAGCTTCTTTAGAATATTACTAGTGTTAAACAAAAATGTTTATCAGCACAAGGTTTCAAATTCTAAAGCTCCATTTTCTTTCATTTTCATTTATCAAAGTCAATCAATCTCCCTTTTTGGACCAATTAATTCCCACTACCTATCCCCTATCTAAATTCTCCAAAGAAGTCTTTCAAATAGCATCCTGACTAATCGGTACAATGCAGTGAATGATCAATCAAGAGAAGTAAAAAAGGTTCTAGAAATAAAAGTTCTAGAATACTAGTTTACGTCTCGTCCTGAGATTTTCAACATACGTAACCACAAAGCAACTCCTATATCGATTCTGCTTTTGAAGTGGCAGTGGAGATGCCAAAAGATAACTTGAAAGTGAACTTATTAAATCACTGAAGTGGAGCTTTGGCCTAAATCAAGGTGAAAACCTAAGAGGTCTCACGCACAACTCACAGTCCTATTTGAAGAAGGGGCTCTTCTTGCTTGAAATCCATCTACAATGACGAGAGGATGCCCTTATAGGTGACATTTGTTAGGGGAACCAGATTTTAAGTCAGGGTTTACATTCGAGATGAATGGCATCCACTTTCTCCTTTGGTGGCAAATACTTCGCTTTCTATTTCCTGGATCAGATATGATAGATAGTGAGCTGACATATATGTAGGTTCATATCAATTTAAAATAATACACCTGAGTACTCACTGCAATATGAATATGCAAGAGTAAAACTACAGATCTCTTTCGTCACCTTTTAACCTTTATTTTAATCTCGTTTTAATATTTAATGAGGCCAAAATCTTGCCAATGAGACTACTTGCCAAGTGGAAAGTGATTAGTTTATAAAGATTCCTGGTACCCAAGCCAAAATAGTAGGTGCTCAGTAATTGTTTCCTGAGTGAATGAAGAAAGTTCCACACTTATGTTAATGCCATTTAGTTTCTTCACCAATTTGAACTTTCTGTAAAGGAGAGCAAACATTCCTGCATCAGAAAAAATAATAGAGCCACAAAATATTATTAAAAATCAGGAAAATACCCATTTTAAACAAGGTGGTTAATCCTAATTGCTCCAGATAACCTATAATTGCCATAGCTGTTAAACACACTCTTCTGTCACGTTTACAGAAGTTTGATTCCATCTTTAAGGAAATTAAAGTCTCCAAATTCAAAATAAGATTTTGGTGATAATTTCAATAATACAGAAAATGCATGTTTTTTCTAGTAAGTAGATAGAATGAGTATTCCTTCTCCCTTCCCACATGACAGCACCTGAATGAAGAGTGGTTTCCCAAGTGCTATTAGTATCCAGCTTCCTCAAAGGCAAGGTCATGAACCACTGGGCGTGCCTCACAGGGAAGCTGCTCTAATTTTCATCTTGGAGACTCTAAGGACAGACTCTGGCCCCTAGTGAAGTCGATGAAACAGAAACACTGGACGTGCACCATCAACCCCAGAATCTCTCCACTAATAGATTTCCTACTTACAGGATTCCTTAAAAGTATTTCTGGAAGTAATCTGGGTTAGGGCCAAGTAGCTCCAACTGAAGGCACCTTTGTCACAAGCTTACGAACGCTGCCAAGTAGACTTTAGGTATACGTTAGGGAGCTAATTTTCACATTTTCGTTTGGTACCAAGAAAGGTACAGTCCATAAAAGCTTTAGCAACAAAACTATGATATTTAGAATCTAAACTCCTACTAGTATTCTTCTTTCTGTAAATGATAAAGACTAAAATTACAGATCTCTATCATCCCACCTAGGCTGAAGTACTGTTGACTGAGGCAGGAAAAATGCTACATTTTCATGCAAAGAGAACAGCTATGAAGAGGTAGGATATGGGACATGCTAAGCCTTTAAACACCACGTTATCTCCACCTGGGAGCTAGATGTTGTACTAGCAACTGGATCACTTAAATCACAACAGCCTTGGGTGGGGAGGGGTGGGAACTAAAACCATCCCTTACTTTGAATACAGACCTTCAAAAGAATTCATGAATGAACCAGTTAAGGTAACCAACACAACCACCAAGCCCTCCACCCACTCCAAAACCAACTAAAACCAGGCACTCCACATGAGTGAAAACATCACAAATTCCATAATCTTCATTAATCCTTGAGTGCATTCATTTTTCAACCAGTCCCATAAGTGATACACTTATGAACACCCTCAAGAAGTAAAAACAGTAAATGCATTGATAGTAACAGGCTCTTCATTTTTTTGAGAAACTTGCAATGTTACAAAAGAATCAAACATCGGGGCGGGGGGGACTGTGGCCTCAAGTGGTCCTTAGTGGAATCCAGCGCCACTCCACTTGATGAGGGTCTAGCCTGCATTAAAGTTAGACAGCCTATGTTTATAATTAAGTGATAATGACCGAAGTTCGAGGTACACAGGGCATTTCCTGGGGATTAATGACCAGCCAAAGGAGTTGCCGACCTAAAGCAAAGCCTCCAGCCAGTAACCCCAGCCAGTCCTTAATCCCCAGGAAATGCCCTGAACCTCAACAGCGATTTTAGTAAATACAGGAGGAAAAAGTTTAATATCAGCTTTGTACTTAAATTAAACACCTTTTTCATACTTAGAATGCTCAGACTTCATAAAGTGAGTTCTACAGGAGTTACTAAAGAGTTCCCTTAAACTTAAGGCTGATAAAAAAAATGTTCACTCTAACATTAGTGAAAGCAAAGAGGGCAACTTTTTGTAGTGTTTTAACTGCAAGAGACTTAGCTAAGATACTGTTTGAGAGGCATAATGATAACATAACCAACATATGGACCCTCAAATCTACATTTAACCTGGGAGTTACCTGACAATCACTAAAGAATAAAAGAATCAGTGTTCAGGTTTACAGAAATGATTGATCTCACTCAGTTAAAATGAAAGACTGTGACAGAGTGACTGCAATTCTTAGAACAAAACCAAACCAACTAAACAAACCCCCCTAATCTTTCGTGGATCTCATGTCATTATTCTATGTGACACTGGTGTCAAGAAACCAGTAGACAAATGCCAGGGGACAAACTGCTTCATTGTTAAATTCAAGCAGATAGATACTTTAATAAACTCTCTTAGGCTTTTAACTCTTAATTAATCAGGTGCTACTTGAAACCAGGGCATTTTAAGGGTTTTTACTTTATCAGAAGAATGTGATCGTTTATTTCTGCTTTCAAAGAAAAAGCAAACCCAAATTCTCCAAAGAGGAGAAAGAACTCTCCTGTCCATCCTTACAACGCCCTACAACCACCTCCTGGTCTGTCAGAAACTACCATGCACACTACAAGTGCAGAAAGCCACGTAAGCCTCTGGTCTCGTGTATTTTAGAGAACTTTGGTGTTTATAGAACCTTTCACAGCCCCTTTCTCGGTTGGCCTTGAGGCTTGCTGATTAGCAAGTAAACGTTTGAAAGGGTCAGTGTGTCCAGAACTGGAATTTCCACTTTGGAAAAAGCACAGAGGTACCTGACATCTGTTCCTTGAAAGACCTGCACTACACCTCCAAACTTAGAGCTGAAATTCCTACTTCTGCTTGATGGCAGGGAGGGCAAAGCTGTAAAACCCGCTGTGGCTACTCCTGCCTGGAAAATAGAGCAGAGTCCCCAAGGACCTCTGCTTTCTGGCTCCTACAGCACAGTACCCAAAAGATGAATACAGTTTTAATAATATGAATATATTCCTCCAGGAAAAATAATAAGACAAGCATCCAATCGAATCCCCAATCTCCACCCAGATTTCTAAGTGCTTAGAAATAAATAATTTTTGTGTGAAAACAGTTTCCTTATCTTTGTTGAGGATACTGAAGTCCAGAGAGTGAACTGACTTGCCCAAGGTGGCTCAGCTTCTGGGCTAGCACTCTTACTTTCGTGTTCTTTCCACTCTACTGTGTTGTTACCTCAGTAGTCTATCTTCCCACCACTTATCTGCCCCCTAGACAGAGAGCTCCATGGAGCTAGGAAAGACAGCAATGTTTCAGTGCCCACTCTGCTGGGCACCATGGGGCACACTCCAGTTGGGAGCCTGGCTGGCAGTGGACATACTACCTTTCCATAACTTTAACAAGTGACTTTCGTTTATGAAAACTACATCCCAAATGTTGCTTTACATTCAACTACACCTTATGGTATAAACTGGCACTCAACCGCCAGTCTCTCCAAAACCCGCCCCTTTACAGTAAGTAGGATTGGCATGTTTTCTTTTTAAATAATTTATAACTTTTTCTACCTTCATAAGTTAGGGCGAATATGTAATACAGTATTTTAATGGTTACTTTATTCAAAGATATTTTAAGTAACTGCTCCATTTATATGCACAGTATTCCTGCACTCTTTGCCTTATAAACTCAGGCATTCAGTGGAGAGAGGCTGCGAGGGTTGAGCTGACCCTTTTGTTCTGAGAACTTTGACGTTTTCAGCGTTACTGCGCAGCAGGGATTGTTAGGTAGCTTGCCCTCTCACAGCCTTTAAGGTTAGGTGTAAACTGTCCTGAAAAGCATCAAGAGAGTTAAGCTTCTAAGGGTGAAATCAAATCCGACTCAGCATATTTGCTACTTTGAAAAACTTCCCCCCAACCCAGACCTGAGTTAGCACAAGTTAGTCTCGAAGTGGTACCAGAGAAACATTTCATGCATAGAGTTTGGTTTGGTTACCTGGGTGGGGGAAACAATAGCAGGTGAAACTACTGTGGGAGAATTGGTGCTTCTGTGCCCATTGGCTTCTGGAAGAAGAGGCAGGGGGTCGTGTTTCACGGAAACCACCACCACCGCATCCACAGGCTCCGAGGAGGGGCGGATACAAAGTCTTTTAGGGGAAGAGGGGCCGCAGATTTCCCCCGACCCGAACACGGACTCGTACAGGGCGCGCTTGGGCGCAGCCTCCGATTTCACGTCGGGCCCGACCTGGCTGTCTCTGGGGAGGATATAGGTGTTCCCCAGCGAGGGCGGCTGGGGGCGGTGGTGGTGAGAGGGATGGGTGGGGGGATGGGGGGAGTGGTGGCGAGCCGCCCCGTTCAGAGCCTCGGCGTAGCAGCCCTGCGGCGCGGGCGAGCCCAGTTTGGTGCCGATGCCCGCGATGCTGTTGAGCGTGGCGATGGAGACGGCGCCGATGCAGTGGTTGGTGTAGGTCTTGGAGAGCTTGGCCGCCTTGGACAGCATCTGCATCCTGGTGCCCAGCAAGTTCTTGCCGATGGCTTTGTTCTCGTACCAGGTCACATCGCCCTCGCTGCAGTGGTCCCGGGGCCGCTGGAAGAACGCCTTGCAGAGGGGGTTGCGCTTCGACAGGTACTTGACGAAGCTGGCGTAGGGGCAGAACTCGGTGCCCGTCTCGTACATGCGCGGCAAGTTCTCCTCGTCGCTGCTCTCGGCGCGCTTCTTGCTCCACGACGACGAGCGCGACTTGTGGTAGGGCCCGAGGGACTTGAAGTAGACGAACTTGCGGCCGTCCTCGTCCATGGCCAGCCCGAAGGAGTCCTCCTCCAGCTCGCGCTGGTTCTCGCGGCCGCGCGTGCAGAAGTACATGCACGTCTCGAACCAGACCTTGTTGAGCAGCCCGAAGGGCGTGTTGGTGCTGAAGACGCTGGAGGTGTAGAGCTTGCGCAGGTCGGCGCGCGTGATGGCTTGCTTCTGCACCACCGGCCCGGCGCCCTGCTCCTCAAGCTTGCGGATGACCGCGGCCAGCGTCAGGTTAGCGCTGCGCAGCTCCGGGTCCTTGGTGAGGTCGAGCGTGCGGCAGTACGGGGGCTCGTTGAGGTAGCGATTGAGGGAGCTGCGGATGCTTATGAGCGACGACTTGCTGTAGAGCTGGCCGCTCTTGGAGCGGGCCTCGGCGTAGAAGGAGCGCAGCACGCGGCACAGCGCCCCCTTGTCCATGGTCTCGAAGTCCGGGCTCTGCGCCTTCTCGCTCAGGTACTCCCGGAAGATGCGCACGGCGTAGCGGGTGGCCAGCCGGGTGTTCTCGCTCAGCCGGGCCCGCTCGGGGCGCTGCAGCACGTCGGGGTCCAGCTCGGCGCCGTCCCCAGGCGGCCCGCCACGGGCCCGGGGCGCCAGCAGCCGCGGCGGCGCCTCGGGCTCCAGCGCGGCGCTCTGGTCCATATTGATCATATGGACCGGCTCCGGCTCCAGCTCCTCCCCGGCCGAGTCCTCGGGCTCCAGGGGCTCGTCCCAGTCCAGACCCATCTCTTCCTCCTCCTCTTCCTCCTCCTCCTCCTCCTCCTCCAGCCCCCCACCTCCGTCCTCCTCCTCGTCCCCCGTTATCTGCACCTCCTGGATCTCGTCCTCCTCCTCCTCTTCCTCCTCCTCCTCGCCCGCGCTGCAGTAGTGCGGGCGGCCGTGGCGGCGGCCTCGGCCCCCCGCACCGCGCTCGCCCTCGCCCCGCTCCCCATTGTTCTCGGCGGCGGCGGCGGCGGCGCTGGCGCTGCCGCCCGCGCTGGTGTTACAGTCCCCGCTGCCAGGCATTCTCGCCATATTGCCGTCTCTCTGCCAGTCCTCGGGCAGGGCGCATGCGCTATATTGGACCGCAGCGCTGAGAGCTTTTGTGTTTAATGACCTTCAGCTACCGGGAGGCAAAGCCGGGCTCTTAAAGGAGCCGCGCTCCAATTGTCAGTTCGGAGCGCTGCTCCGGAGGGGCAGCGGCGCGCAGGGGATGGAGGGGTAGGGAGGCGGGGGGTAAATTAGACAGGGAGAGCGTAAGGACCGAGGCTGGCTGGACCCTCTTCCTCCCCCACCTCTCTCCCCACTCCGAAGAAAACTTTGAAGGGAAAAAAAGGAAGGGGAGGGAGAGCTGTCGGTGGGGGTGAAACACTCCCAACTTACCCTCTGGCTGAGTGGCGCGCGGGCCCGGGCGAGAGAGAGAGGGAGGGCCGGCGGGAGGGAGGGGCGGCCGCTTCTCTAAGTAATGCCCGAGGAGCAGTGCCCCTTCCACCGCCCCCTCATTGCCCCCCGGAGCCGGGGGTTCCGGGAGGCGGCAGCACCCGGTGGGCCGCGGATGCTACTTCGAGAAGCCTGTGTCTGGGGCCGCCCGGAGCGGAGCGGAGCAGGCAGGTTAATGAGTAGGGTGGAGGAGGCACGGCGGGGCCCCGCACCCTCTCTGCGCCCGCGGCCAGGGCGCAGCGGGCGAGGCTTGGGAGCAGGATGGGGCTGCCGGCAGCGGCGACTCCCCCACCTACTTGCTGCGGGCGAGGCGCGGGGGCCTGCGGCCAGCCGCAAGGCTCCCAGCTCCCTTTCTGACTCTTGCAAAGGAGCGAAACACGCCCCACGTCAGCCTCATCCCTTTCGACTTTTCCAACAGCCACTTTTAAGCTGTCATTAAAGACCGGGGGCGCTCCCCGTAGGTGTGGGGCAAGTCCGCGCCGGTCCAGTCAGCCTGGGGAAAGAGCGCGGAAGAAAGACTGGGAGGGGCGGGTGGGAGGGGAGACGCGGGAAGAGGCGCTGGGGACCCCAGGGACCCCTCCCCACTCGCCCAGGCCACCGCCCTCCTGCCTCGGAGCAAACTGACACAACTCCCTCCGGCAAGGCGCTCCACCTAGTTGGAGCGAGCAATGCCGGTCCCTAAGATCCGTCGGGCAGGAGGGCGGAAAAAGTGAACTTGGGTCTCGGCCGCCCCCGCCGCCGCCACAATTCCGGCAATTGGGATCCCGAGCGTGCTCTAGTTCCAAGTTTGCCAGCTGCCGTTCGTTTGCCCTCAGGGCTGCGCTGCCTTCGGCGCGCGGGGGCGGGCACCTCCGAAACTGGAAAGGCGGCCAAAGAGCTCGCCCGGGTCCCGCTTTCCCATCAGAGACACTGTCCCACTTCCAGCCAAAGGCCCGCCCCCGGCGCGCCCAGGCTCCGGGCACGTCCTCGTCACCGCCTCCAGGTCTCCCAGGGGCAGCGCCCCCAGAGCCTCCGGAGGCCTCGACTGATTTCTTTGGACGTACAGCCACGGCCACCTACGGATTTCGCCCTGTATTCTAACTTTCTCCTCCTCGGGCAGTCTGAGTGTCCCCCCGGCGCGCTAGTCAACTCCGAGTCCCAGGGGCTAGGGGAACCTACGGAGTCAGGTACCAGCAGCGCGCGGCCCAAGCCGGCCAGCCTGTGCGGCTGCCTCGCCAGCTCCTCGAGGGCGTCCTCGGATTTCCTTCCGAGTTCTCAGCAGTTCCGCTGTGAGAGTCTTGTCAATTGCCGGTCCCCCGAGGACCCCCTCTCCCCGGGGCCCTCTGTCTTGCTTTCAGGGCAGTTTATAATTTTGCGCATCAAAAGTAACCCATCTGTCCATTTGTAAGAAGGAAGGAAGGGAGGGAGGGAGGAAGGAAGGAAGGAAGGAAGGAAGGGAGGAAGGAAAGGAGGAAGGAAGGGAGGAAGACTAGGTCTCTGGGCCGCATGGGCGTCTAAGTGGGAGTTGACTGTCTCCACAGCGATGAGTCCTTGCTCTCCGTGTTCCTCCTCGGCCCTGGACGTTGCCGAGCTTTGGGGACAAGTTAGAGCAAGTGTGTGAACAAGTTAGAGCAAGTCCCTGCCTCGCGGGCCCTCTCCCGCTCTTCGGGGAAAGACAGACAGACAGACAGACACACACACACACACACACACACACACACACACACGCTCTCATCCGTCCTCCTCTCCGCAGAGAACAGTCTCGGGACGCGAGGAATCCGGAGGTGGCATTCCTCGGGAATCGTCCCGGAGGTGCGGCCCGTTTTGTTCAAAATACATTGTCCCCCGGAAATGTGTAGAAAGGAGCCCAAGGCAGTAGGCAGCTAAGTTAGTCGCAGACGCGGGCCCGCGCACACGAGTTGGCACACACCAGTAGCACCGGCTACTTCCGGCAGCCTCTTTGTCCCGGGATGTTCCCAGGTTTTGGGGCCGCCGGAACTCTCCGGCGGGGCATTTCAGCAGTTCTGAGAATTCAGGTGGGCGCCCGGCAAGTTACCTACCAGGGGCTGCTCCCCGGCGGCCCTCACCGCCGACGCAGTGAACCTAGGGGCCTCGTTGGCTCGGGGCTGCGCTCCCGGCTCGGCCTGGGGACTCGGACCCACATTCCAGTCCAGGAGCGAAGCCGCTTCCCAGGTCTCCCCACTTCTGCAGGCGGCGGGGGTCCCCCGCTCCCTCCTCCCCGATTCCCCTCCCTGCTGGGCGAGCTGCTTTGAATTGCTTGCAATTTGCCGAAGGCAGTGTGCTGGGTTGGACGCTCCGGGAAACAAAGCAACCAAAAACAGCTCCCAGTTGACGTCAACTTATTTCCAGGAAAGAAAATGGTTTTGTGCTCCCAGGACAAACCTCCCCCCCTTCCCCCTCAGGGCAGGTCTCTACTGGCAAAAGCCAGGGGGCGGGGTTGGGGAAAAGCAGAACCAAAAAACCCCAAGCACAAATAACTTTTTAACGGAGTTGGAAAAACAGCAGCTTCAGATGCTGCCTGGATATTTTGCAAACAACGGGCAGGACCCCCGCTAATGTTAGAGACGAAAAAACGCACCTTGGGAAGTACGCCCTGGCTGATTATCGGGCGACTGTGAATCTGCTTCGTGGCACCAGCTCCTGAAACGATACCAGAATTCTTTCCCCGTAATGATACTTCATCAAATATTGGAAAAGGCCTCTTCAAGTTAGTACCTACAATATTTACCAGGAAGAACACCCAGGGAAACCAAGCAATTATAAACCTGTTCACCTCCCCCCAAAACACACACACACACCAACGCTCCCCACCCAAATGTTGCTTAATTTTTAAAACCCAATAACACAGAATTACAGTTGAGTTCATACAGGAGTTCAATTCCAGCTTTAATAAATGGTTCCTTAAAAACATCCTGTCGTTCCACACACTCAATTCCAAACTGACAGAATCAAAAGAGCTTTCTTGTAATTATTTTGGTAGACAGGCAATATTGGTTATCTTCTGCCTATCAGCCCAGCCTGATTCCTCCACTTTGATTTTGCCTATCATGAAGTCCCTTTAGCTCACCACTTGAAACTGACAGCTGTCCCTCACTCCTTTGCAAGGACAGTTATTTGTTGTGTAGCATAGCTTCTGCACATATAAAACACGTATCTTCTTTATATAAAAATGATCCCAGTACTGTATGGCACACTGATTGCAATGATGTAACTGTCAGAACTCTTTACTGTAAGCGACCCTAAGAGGTTTACAACTTGAACAATATGCTCCACATTTTTTGTCTCTTTCATTATCATTATAAAGTACCATCCGTGCTTCTCCATTTCTAAGATTACTTGAAAGTAGTGACATGGTTATTCTGGAAGGAAAAACTCCAAATGTTTTTTCCTCATTTTATAACCCCCCTACTTACTCCCATTCAGTTCACACTTTATGAAAAGTTATGCCATAAAGAAGCAGATTCAGCTCTTCCTCCTCTTTGATTGCAGCCTTCTGACCTCATCTGTTACATAATTGATGTAGTTGCTTTTGATGTTTCCTCTCCTAAACCGATATACCTGTGTAGTTTAGGCTGGTGCCGGGGACGTGGTGAACACTCCAGTTGTTTTTCATGAATGAATGCGTGAACAGGATCTGTGTTTAGTTAACCCCTATTTTAAGGAAGGAACATGTAGGGGAAAAATCAGAAATATCAAGCATCTGAACTTCTATATCAAAAAAATTTCGTAGGATGAAAAGTAACTATAAGGCAACATTACTGTTTGCAATAATGTTTACAAGTTAAAATGAATGTAATGCCTGCTTTGGTTTAATATTTTCCTGCCATTAGTTCCCTCTCTAGAGGACCACATTATAGGCAGTTATTGGAGGAGCAAGGGACCAGGGAAGGGAGGTAGCTATGTATCAAGAGATGAGAGTTGGGGAGGATTTAGATGGATAAATTCAAGAAATTTTGTGGGCTCTTGAGGGCAGAGGCCAGAAAAAGCATTTAGTTCCTCGTCTAAGTCATGTTTTAGTTCATCACTGTTTTTAGTTGTCACTTTTAAGTCATGCTTTCTTGATTTGATTACTAAAAGATTCATAAAGAACTTTGGAGGTTAAATATGAATTCAAATTGAGGCTGTTTTGACATGTCTGTTTCAGAGTATTACTACTAAATTCTGTTGAATTTAATCGAAGATCGTCTTGAGTAATGTTTTTTTTTGAACTCAGATGAAAATAGAACCCATGTAATCTAATTCCACGAGGTGGAAGAAAACTCAATAAGAGCAGAAACTGTGTCTTATTTATCACTTCAACTCCGGTTCATTTCCAGTACAGTTCCTTCGCATATTTTAGCAGAGTGGCAGGTACATAGTAGACACTCAATAAACATACAAATATTTATGTGTGGGGAGAGAGCTAACCACCACAAAAGGTCACGGAGCAGAGTGCTTAAAAATTGCATCTTTGAGTTTGAATCCTAATTTGGCCTTACCAGCTGCCCTCATTATTTTATTATCTTGGATTATAATAATAATGACCCCTAACTCACAGGGTTGTTGTGAGAATTCAATGGGTTAATATGAATAAACGTAATACAGTGTCTGGAACATCGTAAACATTCAACCGTTAGCTCTTAGTTATTAAGACTCTAGTATTTTCCAGGCTTGATTATAAACAAGAAAACCAAGGCCAGAAAGGCTCACAAAAGTTAAGCCACTTCCCCAAGGTCTCCCAGGCCTCCTTAGGGCAGGGAAGTTTGGCTCTGTAGCCCAAGCTTAGCGGGCCACATTCAGTTTCTAGAAACCAAAGGATGCAAAAAATAAAAATCTTCAAGGGAACAGTTTCCTACCATTAAAATACTTCTGTGTGTCATTTGATTTGGGAATCTTGGAAAGCTAGAACAGTACCAAGCCACGTCCTTGGACTGTGAGTACAGCAGAAATAGCCTAAG